TATCCCTATAGGGTACCACATTCCCCAAGCAGGTTACAGCTTGTATTACTCCTTTAATCATGTTGTAACTCTAGCTCTGTTTTATCTTTCTATTGTACAGTTTCTTACTATGTGAATGTTAAGCATTAATTTCTATTTTCCAATCCCATTTCCTGTGGTTCAGCAGTGAAATACTTTATAGGGCTTGATGCAAAGAGTTGAGAAAATATAAATAGGCCAAACAACAGCTTTCCTGCTAAGAGTGAGGTTCCTTCCTATTTTAGGGCTTTGAGTGAGGCTAGTTTGCTTAAGCTCCAAAATGTTTACATCTGACACTATTTGCACCCAGCAGGAACTGACCTAAAAATAAGCATCAGAAATTCTATAGTCATGAACATGAATAGGAATTTCTTTGCCTGAAAGTGTGTAAAATCTTTGCCATGCAGGAAGATACATCTTTATTAGGTATTCCATGCATACTGTCACATGTTCACATTTTATAATATTTTTAGAATGTATGAAGTTCATATTATGCCTTGAAAGAATATTAATGGGTTTTATCACACCTGGTAATTAAGACTTCCATGATGACCACCTTCCCAGAAGTGTAATAAAAATATTACTGTCAACTGAATCATATATTAAGTGACTTGCTTAGATAGAGCAAGTATAATATGAAGTGAATAATTCAACAATGTCCTATATATATATATATATATATATATATATGTATATATATATATATATACATATATATATATATATATATATATATATATCACATATACCTAGGGAAATTTTACGTCATGAAGTGGTCAGTATCAGGTATTATGTAATGACAATGTTGATGAGGAGAGTAGAATTATCCCTGTTTGTTAATTTTGTTCTATTTCTCTAACACTTTTGACCAGAAGTAGGGGACAAAGTTTGTCATGAGTTAATATTCTTGTTTCTTATTGTCTTTTTTGTATCATAGATATTTTCACCAATGATTGCAAAGTGATAAATGATTTTGGAGTGAGCAAGAAGCACAATGATAGAGCTTTTGACTAGCATGCTTAAGGCTTTGAGTTTTCCCCTTAGCATTGCAAAAAGGGATCAATTTAAAAATTCAAAGTAGAAATAAGTTAAGATTTTAATATTTCAGTTAGATAAAACAAAATACCTAATTAATATTTGAATACCTACAAAATTAACAGCCATCTGTTTTGATAAGAGGAAATTCTACTCATTCATAGAGTATGTTTAAATAGTCTCCACTAATAATAAATCAATATTTATTGACTATTCTGAAGATAGGGTAAGAGTTATCCACATTTGTTAATTTTGCTATAGTTCTCTAATATTTTTATTTTGTACATGCTTTAAAATTTTATTGTATCTATGAATCAATTTTCTCTTTTTGGTCTTTTGATAAATGTTATATAGAGTCATTATATAGTAAACTGGGAAATGACAGAAAGAAAAAAGTGGTGAACATATTACTCAAAACATTTATTTTATTACTGAAATGCATTTTCTTTTAGCCATTTGTTCATTTTATCTTTTATCTAAAATTTTTTTTGATTGACAAGTTAATTGAATCATAATGGACTATACATCACAGCATATTACACAATGCACTTTGATTCTATCATGAAAACTTTATAAAGTGTATTTCTTGATAATACTTTTAGTCTTGGTGCATTAGTCTTATTTCTATATACTTTATTATGGCTGCTAGAGGCAATTAGGGATTGTGCTGATTTAGTAAGTGGGTGTAAGGAGTAAGGTTTTTCTGCCCGCTGCTGGTCTTGTCCCGCCGCCGCACCAGCCCCAAATAACACACAGAGTTGCTATATTTAATATAATGCTGTTGGCCAGGTACTAGTTTATTATTGGCTAGCTCTGTCTTAATTATTCACCCATTTCTATATATTTCCACGTGGTCTTCTCTTAGTGGGGAATAGAGCAGACGTCTCATCTCCCCAGTCTCTCCATCTTGACTCCCCTTACTCCTTCCTCTTTCCTCCTTTTCTCCTAGTCCCTCCTATCTTCCTTTCCTATTGGCCAATAGTGCTTTATTCATTAACCAGTATGAGAAACATATTTACAGAATGACATCTCCCATCAAGTGGGTTCTTCTTCAAGAATCATGACCTCACTAACCCCAGGTAGTTGTCTGGGTTTCTGGTACCAAGCATATTTCTCTCTTCTTGAAGAGGCCTTAAGTCCAATTACAGAGCTGTTGGTTACTACTGAGATATGGGTACCGCTACTGCACCCACTTGGTTATTTTGTTATGCTGATCATCGTTGTAATTTGTAAGCATCATTGGTGGGCAGGACTACTGGTTACTACTCTCCCTTGGAGGTTTGCTTGGCACCTTCTGGTGCTATGAAAGTAGGCCCTTGACCCAAATAATGAAAATAAAGAAGTAGACAACCAAAAATAACAGAATCAGAAGTGAATAAAGAGGTGTTGCAACAGACATAAAAGAAATACAGAATATTCTAAGAGAATCATTTTAAAATTCATACTCCATTAATTTGGAAAACCTAAAAGAAATGAATGAATTTCTGGATTCATTCCTGTAATTATTTAATCAATTTTGATCTAGTAGATCTAGTATCACAAGATAAGAATTTTGTGTGTTATTTCAAAAACTGATTTAGTTCTTTATTCATTGACATTTTACAAATATTTTCTTATTTATTTTGTTTTTGTATATACATAACATGTTTTAAAGTATTGGGATACTAACCTACGTTTTTATCTTTTTATTAATTCTTAGAAATGTTACTACTGAGTCAAATGCATTAGTTAGTATCACAGCTTGTCATACCTGAAAATCAGATAGCTGACTACTTATAAATGGATCAGAGATGGTATTATAATTGGCAACTTGAGAAAGTGTCATAAAAACGAATCTGAAGAAATATAACCCCCTTTCCATCTCTTTAAGGGAAAATAAGCGTCTGAAGAAAGTATAGGATATGTAACCATATTAGACACAAAAACAAATAAACAAAACTTAAACAAACTGAGGTGAATCAAAAGATCGTTCTTATAAACTTATGTTTTTAGCACTAGAAACTATGCTACTATATCTTTTCTTACAAAATGCATGTAAACTTAAGAGAAACCCATGCATTGACCCCATAATTCTGAGAGGAGCTACCACATTAATTCATTTGTTTCTAAGTTTCATGTACATGTATGAGTGATAGGGTAGGGTGTGTTGTATATACAATGTAGTTGTACTGATTTTATATTTATGTAATGTTAGTGGTATGTATACCATTTCATGCAATCTATGTTACTTAGCTATCTAGTGTTTCATAAATTATTTTTCCTTTGACTTTTATCTTACTACACTTTACTGGACTGTAATAAACATTAGTTCTGTGAGCATTTCCACAAGTAAATTTAGCACTTCAGACTATGCAGTTAGAATACTTTTGTTTGGAATTACTAGCTTAAATAGAACATCACATACAGATTTCATCTTTATATTAGGATTTGGTATTATGATGTAAGGATCTATCCTTGATTTCCCCAGGTTATCATAATATTTTTGTTCCTTGATTATTTTCCAACTTGGTCTCTAATGTTATTTCCTTGGACAACTGTAGTTATTTAACAATGGAGTCATTAAACAGTGACACCAACTACAAAGATTTTTCAGTGAGTTGAAATAGAAGTGGGTTGTCAAAATAAATTAAGTAGCTTTCATTGTTATTTTATGCTGATGACGTGATTTACATGGTGATCTAAACACCTTCTTAGTGACTGACATGCCTTCTGCATCTACCATAGAGAGCCTGTTAAGGATGGCCCCTCTGCTACTATGTTCAAAGAACTTCCCAACTGCCCATTTGGGCCTTCAAAGAAGCTGTGATTTCCTCAGGCAATTTTGTTTCTATGCCCATTTCTTTCTCCCATTTCTCTGGTTATGCCTAATGTCCATTCTAGTGATTTGCTAGTGCTTGGAGGTTTTAATGGAACACTTATTCTTTTCCTCTTTTGTAATTTTAATCTGTACGATATAAATAGGTATTTGTTCCTGTGTGATTAGGATGTAGAAAGAACAAAGCATCCACAGAACACCTCTAGGAAAACTTATCCCACCAGAGTACATTCCTCCTGCCTTTTCCATCTTAACACATATTGGCAGAAACAGAACAAAGAAAGCTGAACTTTAGATGCCAGAGGGCTCTTAGGGTCCCTTCCTAGCAGAAGGGCCTTTGAGGATTATTGACATTTGACATTTCCTCAAGCCCTTTGTAAAACTAAGTACTTCTGATGTGGAATGGTGAGTCTTCTTGGGCATCAAGGGATGGTGCTTCTGAAGTGAATAGGTGATTTGTTTAGTTCTAGCATTTTAAAGATGCATCCACATTTGACTCTTGCATAGGGGTATTTCTCTGATTTTTGTGGGGTGTAAAGTTTTTATCTCTCACCATTTCCATCAACTTAGTTTCTTTAGTGTAGGAGTCATAGTTTAGGTGCTCTTGAGCCAGACCTTGAGACCTTATCAGGTTAACTATGTGAGAGATAAAGTCATGCTTTAAGGACAGAGACATAACATATCTTAGTGTGCACAGACTTCAATTCTATGTTACTGAATAATTTGGTTTAATGCACATTGCATCTGTTATAGATTTATAAATGCTACAACAACAGATTCTTGGATATTGTATTTTGTTTTGTTTTTAGGTTTTTTTTCCCTAGAAAGAGTGTGAGAGAGAAACAAAAGAAGTTTCTTTTGCTCTTTCTAAAGTTAATGTTGCAGAAGTTATTGAAATTATTTGTTACAATGAAGGTATTATCTATGCCAGTGAATTGTATTTATTTTCCCCACACCAGTTTTCCATCAGGAACTGAAATCTGGGGGATGTTACTATGATTTAAAAAAATGCTGTGTGGTGTTCTGTATATTCAGAGGGGCTGGTGCTCTAAATTATTAGATCAACATTGTCTATTAAACTAAATAACTCTAGCGGGTGTGGTTGAAACTGTTGTCTTATCCTGCTTTCCAGGAAAAGGTGATGTGTTTGGAGACATCTTCTGGAAGGAAACCACCCTTGCTCATGCTTGTGCCAATGTCCGGGCCCTGACTTACTGTGACCTGCACATCATCAAGCGAGAAGCCTTGCTCAAGGTCCTTGACTTCTATACAGCATTTGCAAACTCATTTTCAAGGAACCTCACTCTCACTTGCAATCTAAGGAAGCGGGTATGTTGTATCTACTTTCTCTTATGAGTATCTAGTGGGTAACAGGCTATGTTCTATCAGCCAAGAATGAAAAGTGCTTCATTTTTAAGTGGTACATCCCCATCTACATAAAGTGATGTAATTTTCTTTCCTTTTATTTGTATTGTTTACTTTTAAAGGGAGAAGATACGTCAGAGTAAATATTTGAGTCTTTGTTACTTAGGAATCAAAATGAAAAGCAGACATGGGGAAAAGTAAATGGGGATGGAAACTGTGCTATGGTATGGTATATTATTAGTCACGGTTCAGAACATCCAAGGTTTAAGAAATCCAGTAGTTGTTCAGTTCACAAGGCTGAGTGTCTCAAGTGGTCTTCAGTATATGTGAGGATTCCAAAGAAGTGAGCTCTAATGCTAGAGAAGGAATAAACTTGCCAGAGAAAGCAAGTGCAAGCAGGTAAAGAACCAGATATCCCTTCTTCCATGTCCTTCATATAGGCTGCACCAGAAGATGTAGCCCAGATTTAAGGTAGATCTTCTGACCTCAGAAGATCCAGATTTAGGATGGGTCTTTCTACTTCAAATAGTTCCATCAAGAAAAATCCCTCACATTTGTACTCAGCCCCTTGGTTTTTAGTTAATTCCCGATGTAGTCAAGTTGGTAACCAAGGATAGTCATCACATATGGTTAGCTTTGGGAGTTTGGGACACTGCTCTAAAAGGAACAGCAGCATTGTTCTTTTATGCTGTGGAAGTCTTTAGAGTTGGCAATGTCTATCAAGCTAGCTACATATTTTCTATTCCCATTGGTCCTTAAACCCTACTTCTCATCTCATAATTGACTCACAAAGCTCCATTTTCATCAGTTCTTTCAAAGAACACCATCACAAAAATGAATTAGCCACACTGACATGCACTGTAAATAGAGACAGGGTTCATTTACTCTGGTGCTGTTGCAAATTTGATCTTCATTACCATTTGTTTCTTTATTGATGAGTGTGACATGAAGTTAATTTGCATAAAGAAACCTCCATTCTCTGATTTATAGGTCACTGGGCATTTGCTAAGACTCTTTTATGGCCAAGAATGAAATACACATTTGGAAAGCTGCACTTAAGCAACTTCACCTAACATGATTGCCTGTTTATACTGAAGTATTTTGGAATAACGGTCTTTCTTTTCGACAGCGTCTTAAAACCTTTCTTGTAGTTAACATGAATGCAAACAAGCCATTCAAGAGAGAAATTAATGCCCATACTGTAGCAATGCAGAAATGAATAGAATTAAATCGATGTGCTTCTTGCTCAGGGTCCAAGAGAAAGCTAGGCTGGCAAGAATGGGAATCCCACCGACGTTCCAAACATTTGATTTTCATTAGAGCAATGTTTCAGTTCATCTGTTTGTTAACAACTTGTTATTGAATATCCAGGAACTGTGGGACAAGTAAACAGCTGTAGAAAACAGGAATGAACCAGACTACTGTGCTCAGCAAGCTTCAAGTGCACATAGTGTGAAATACCAGTAATTGGACATTAGCCAGTGACAAATGAGGGAGAAGGGCCCAAATGTGAACCAAATATATAATATTCTTGCCTGACATTACAACAAGTTCTTGGATCCATACTTTGCTTTCTGCTGTAAGGTCGCCATTCACAAACAGCTATTTCAAGGTCTTATATTCACACCAACTAAAAATGGATCAGATTTGGAATTCTTCCCCATTCTGTAAGGTGACCTAAACCCTTACCTATCAAATTACATTTTGCAGAATACACACTGTCGTTGTTCTCTTCAAAACATATTGCTTATTATAAATATCAGATCCCATTTAATATTTATAGTATCTTTGTGGCATAAGATAAGGGATTATTTCTTCCTCCAGCCATTTAAGAAATCAGGGCCAGGGAGATTAATATTAACTAACCAACTGTCCTAGTTTGGGTTACTATTGCTGCAATGAAACACCACGAACAAAAGTGAGTTGAGGAAAGAGTTTTTTGGCTTGCATTTCCACTGTTTAGTCTATAACTGAAGGAAGTCAGAACAGGAACTCAAGCAGGGGAGGAACCTGGAGGCAGGAGTGTAGCAGGATTTCTTTGGGGTCACCAACCAGCTCCCAAATCATAACATGGAGACATTATTAGTTATGAATCCTTGGCTGTATCTTATGCTCATTTCTAGCTAGTTCTTATAACTTAATTTAATCTGTTTCTCTTCATCTACATTTTCCCTTGGGGCTTTTACCTTTCTTTCATTCTGTATGTCCTACTCTGTGTTTGGCTGGCTGGCTGATGGCTGCCTGGCTAGACGTTCCTAGGCATCTCCCTTTCTTTCTCCCCCAATATCTTCTCTCTCGACCCCATATTTCTTCTACTTCTTCTCTCTGCCAGTCAGTCCTGCTTATCCTTCTACTCTAGCTGTTGTCTATTCATCTTTTTTATTAGACCAATCTGATGCCTTAGGCAGGCAAAGCAACACATCTTTATATTGTTAAACAAATGCAGCATAAACAAATGTAATACATCTTTACATAGTTAAAGTAATATTTCACAACACAGGAGCTGAAAGAGAAGCCATGGATTGGGTACTGCTTGCTGACTTGCTCATCATAGTTCACTCAGCCTACTTTCTAACAGAATCCAGGACTACCAGCCCAGGGATGGCACTATGCACAATGGGTTGGAACATCCCCCATCAATCATTAATTAAGAAAATACCCCACAGATGGGCATTAAAGAGTAATTTGTTTTTCAGTTGAGGCTCCCTTATTTCTGATAACAGCTTGTGTCAAATTGACATAAAACTATCCAGCACAATAACCCATATGGTTGCAAGGTAAAGCCTCAAGAAGGAATAATTCAAACAGATCATGAGTAGAATATACATTTCACCAAAATAAGTTAATCATAAAGCTCTGCTTTCTTTTCTTCTTTAGCACATGCCTGTGCAAGTGTTTGTACAGGTACAACATACACACACACACACACACACACACACACACACACACACACACACTTTTGTTTGTTATTAGAGCTGACAGCCTGTATGACTGTGTCTCTACCAGTTAAAATAATTAAGCTACAGACCAAGAACACTTGTTTGTTTTTACTTTTTTTTTTTAATCAGGATCTGGGGACCGCATGCTTGTCTCTACAGGTACGAGAGTGCTAAGTTACAATAAGTGGCTTCTCCCCTTCCCTGTCTGCTATACCTTGCATTGCCTTTTAATATTATTTGTTTCAATGCTAAACTCATTCATAACCACATCTGTTCTTCATGGATTATTTAGTAACTTGGCTAATTGGAGAGCAGGATGTGTTGCCAGCCTCTGCCACTTTATTCTCAGCCAAATAAACTGTGAAAGAGGATCTTCCTGTGATTAGAAATACCGACTACCATTTAAGCAGACTATTTTATGTGCCTAGGCATAATGCATCTTATAAATGGTAATATTATTAATATCAGCATTCTGCAAACAAGCAAAATAATGTCAATTTCAACTAGAAGAAGGCAAAGGTTCTATGATATTTATACCTGCCAAGTAATGCATGGGTCAAGATCTAAATTTTAACCATTCTTTGATCATACATACTTCTAAAAATAGCTGCTAGACTTTTCAAAGACATTTTTCCATAGACAGATGCTTCACAATTTGTAGACTGTCTCATTTGCTTATTTATTTTATACTTCATCGATTTACTAGTTGAAAAAAATAAGGTAGTTCTTGCTGTTATTGTAAGAATGATTGTGTTGAACATTTGTCACTCACATGTTCTTAGTAAGCTATGGATCTCATAGTGACATGCCATTGGGTAAGAATCCGATTCTAGTAAGTGGGACATCAGATTTTGAACTCAAGTTCTCAGCCATAGTGGAGTACATCTCTCACCATGTTATAAATGTATACTTTGATTCAGTGGAGATGTTGTAGTTTGTGGTTTTCAATGGCTGTAGGTGATTCTTTGGTTCCTTGCCTTCATTTTCTGCTATACAAATGAGGTTCCCCTTAACAGAAAATTAAGTCTTAAACTCTTCTATTTAGAAAATGTCCTGCTAATTTTATCCAACAATTGAGTTGGGATTAACAAAATTTGAATCAAGGAACAGACAGTAAAAACTTTAGGTTTTGTTTTCCAACCTCAACTATTCAAATTTACCATTGTAGCTCAAGAACATCTTTCTACAGTTGTTGACCATAACAGAATATAGTGAAGAACTTCAGTACATTTGTATAATAATCATATTAAGTGTCAGCAAAACAAGTAAGACACAATAGTATTCATTTCACCCACTGGAAGGTGGAAGTTCTGAGACTGGAGCTTAGTATCTCAAAGACTGATGATTTAAAATAAGAGTTTTTTCAGTCTGGCGATTAGTAAGCCCAGTTGAGTGTCTGGACCATTTGGTTTCAGGAGTTTGCAAGTGGCTGGCTATCTTCTCACTGTATCTTCATGGTGGGACAAAGAGGGATGGACTCTCTGCCATCAGTGTAAATAGGCTAATAAACACTGGGTTTCTATAAACTGTTATCAGACAGGTGATTGGCTACCCACGGGTTTTATGTGTGTCCTCTGCAGAGGACCGGAATGTAGATATAAACAGTGGCAATACAAATTGAAATCTTTCTACCTTTAACAGAAAGCACATATCTCTTATTTGCCACCCAGCCTGAGGGTCACTATAAAACAGACAATATCATACAAATAAGAGTGACTTTAGAACCAGGCAGACAGCACCTAGGAGCAAAGATAGACCGGTGAGTTCACACTGGAGGTCCAAGCCACTGCTTCTCAGTCAGGTCAGAAACTACTTCATTGAAAGCCAGGCTGGTTTTCTTAAAACATTGCTCTGAGAGAGGCTGGATCATAAACTTTATGTCAAATTGAAATACTTTTGTAAATAATAAAAAATAGTGATAAAACAATTTTATTTGATTAGCTCTAAAAGTTCTGCCCAAACAATCAAAAAGGCAAAGTTTATCTATTTTTGGCCCAACAGGTTATGAACTAAATGGAATAAATT